AATCATGAGTATGAGGAGTTCTTGCTTATGTACATACTGTTTGCAAGAAGGACTCATGAGCATGAAGGTATTTTCCTTGATAATCTTTTACTCTGATGCATATGGCCAAGATGCATGTAACACATTGCCTACTCTGTCATGATTATGCTCTCACATGTCTCTATATTTCATATTTACATGAGTGCATACATGTAGGGGGAGCCTATGCTTGTTACATGTCCTTCCAAAGCTTTACTTGCTGTTCTTTATATCTTTATCTAAAGCTTTGATGTATGTTGCCATCAATTACCAAAAAGGGGGAGATTGAAAGCACAAGTGCTCCCTAGGTGGTTTTGATAATTGATGACAACATATCTCTTGTTGGACTAACATTCGATCTAGCATGTTTCAGATAAGTTCAACAATGGAGTGGCATGGACTAAAGGTTGTGGGAACTCCTTCAAGATGCTAAGGACAAGGGATTGGCTAAAGCTTCAAGCTCAAGACTCTTCATTTTATATTTTAGTGATCCAAGATCACATTGAGTCTTTAGGAAAAGCCAATACTATCAAGGAGGGATGAGGTGTTGCTTAATGAGCCTCTTGTTTCATGTGCTTAATGATATGCTCCAAAACCCTCAACTACTTTCCCATATCCACACATGACCTAAACCCTAAGCCAAACTCGGTCCTACCGATTTTTCCTATCCGGCGCCACCGAGTTCCAATTTTCATAAGCCACTGCCAAACCCTAATCATTTCCGTCTCACCGATGGGATCTCGGTCTCACCGAGATGGGCTTGCAAACTCTCTGTTACCCATTGCAATATTCTCGGTCGCAGCGAGATATGCAATCGGTTCCACAGAGTTTGCTTGGCCAAATCTCAGTTTCACTTATTACCCAAATCGGTCCCACCGAGTTTGAGTAATCGTTCAAACTGAGTTTTGGATTTACCCTAACCCTAGCACATCGGTCCCACCGAGTTGATCCAGTCGGTCCCACCGAAATCACTAACGGTCACTAGGTTTACATTTTCGGTCCGACCGAGTTTATTGATTCGGTCCCACCGAGATTGGAAAACTGTGTAACGGTTGGATTTTGTGTGGAGGCTATATATACCCCTCCACCTTCTTCTCATTCGAAGAGAGAGCCATTAGAACACACACACCATTCCAACTCATATGTTCTGAGAAAGAACCACCTACTCATGTGTTGAGACCAAGACATTCCATTCCTACCATATGAATCTTGATCTCTAGCCTTCCCAAGTTGCTTTCCACTCAAACCCTCTTTCCACCAAATCCAAATCCTATGAGAGAGAGTTGAGTGTTGGGGAGACTATCATTTGAAGCACAAGAGCAAGGATTTCATTACCGACACACCATTTGTTACTTCTTGGAGAGTGATGTCTCCTAGATTGGCTAGGTGTCACTTGGGAGCCTCCGACAAGATTGTGGAGTTGAACCAAGGAGTTTGTAAGGGCAAGGAGATCGCCTACTTCGTGAAGATCTACCGCTAGTGAGGCAAGTCCTGTGTGGGCGATGGCCATGATGGGATAGACAAGGTTGCTTCTTCGTGGACCCTTTGTGGGTGGTTGCTTCTTTGTGGACCCTTCGTGGGTGGAGCCCTGTGTGGACTCGCGCAACCGTTACCCTTGGGTGGAGCCCTGTGTGGACTCGCGCAATCGTTACCCTTCGTGGGTTGAAGTCTCCATCAACGTGGATGTAGGATAGCACCACCTATCCGAACCACGGGAAAAACATCCGTGTCTCCAATTGCGTTTGAATTCTCCAAACCCTTCTCTTTACATTCTCGCAAGTTGCATGCTTTACATTCCGCTACTCATATACTCTTTGCATGCCTGCTTGACATGTATTGTGTGTGTTGAAATTGTGCCTAAACTCCACTTAAACCGAAAAAGCTTAAAAATTGCAACTTGAGCATTATGTGTCTAATCACCTCCGTCTAGACACATCTACTTCTAGATCCCACAAGAGAGGCCATGGAGAAGGAGTATCAAGCTCTTATTCGCAATAAGACATGGACTCTTGTTCCTCCACTGTCAGGGGCGAATGTCATTGATTCTAAGTGGATTTTCAAAGTGAAGAAGCATTCTGATGGGTCAATTGAGCGCTACAAAGCTCGTCTTGTTGCTTGTGGGTTTCGACGGTGCTATGGTCTTGACTATGAAGGCACCTTCAGTCCAGTGGTCAAGCCTACTATCATCAGGCTACTTCTCTCTCTTGCCGTTACTCGAGGTTGGTTTCTTCGTCAGCTGGATGTACAAAATGCCTTTCTCCATGGTGTGTTGGAGGAAGAGATTTATATGCGCCCGCCTCCGGGTTTTTCTGATCCAGATCGTCCTCATCATCTCTATCGTCTGTCCAAGGCGCTGTATGATCTGAAGCAAGCTCCCCGTGCTTGGCATGCTCGTCTTGGCATGGCTCTTCACGCTCATGATTTTGCATCGTCGACTGCTGACTCCTCACTGTTTCTTCTACAGAGCCTGAGTTTACTATGTACTTGTTGGTCTATGTGGATGATATTATTCTTGTCAGCTCCTCTCAGTCGGCTGCTACAGCTCTTGTTCGCTCGCTCGGTACTGATTTTGCGGTCAAGGATCTTGGGAAGCTTCACTACTTCCTTGGTGTGGAGGTTACTTCTCGGGTTAATGGTTTTGTTATGATGCAGAAGAAGTACTCCTTGGATTTGTTGCAGCAAGCTGGGATGCTTAAGTGCAAACCAACGACTACACCCATGTCTACAACTGACAAGATCACTGCTGTTGATGGTGAGCTTCTGTCTTCTACTGATGCAACGGAGTACAGGAGTATTGTTGGTGGTCTTTAGTACTTGACGATCACACGACCGGACATCTCTTCTGCTGTCAACCGAGTTTGCCAGTATCTACAATCACCCCGTGACACTCATTGGTCTGCTGTTAAGCGCATCTTGCGCTACATTCGGTTCACGGTGTCTCACGGCTTGCATATTCGACTGACCTCCTCTGGATGTCTCTCAGCGTATTCTGATGGGATTGGGCTGGCAGTCCGGATGACAGGCGATCTACGGAGGGTTATGATGTCTTCTTTGGCTCTAATCTGATCACCTGGAGTGCTCGGAAACAGGCCACTGTCTCACATAGTAGTACTGAAGCTGAGTATAAGGCTGTGGCCAATGCGACTGCGGAGATTATCTAGGTATAGTCTTTGCTTCAAGAATTGGGTATATCTCAGTCGCAGTCTCCTTTTCTTTGGTGTGATAACATCGGTGCTACATACATCTCTGCAAATCCGTTATTCCATGCCCGAACGAGACACATCGAAGTTGACTATCACTTTGTGCGTGAACGTGTCTCTCAGAAGCAATTACAGATCAAGTTCATCTCTTCCAAGGATCAACTTGTAGACATCTTCACCAACCATTGCCTCTATCACAGTTTGAGGCTTGTCGGCGCAATGTTACCCTTCTAGATTCTTTAGGAAGTGGTTAAGATTGAGGAAGGGTGTTAGACTATATAGCTTGTGTATTTACACGTGTATATTGTAAAGTTGTATTCCACTCACTATATATATATATATATGTGACAGGCCACCCTTAAAGGGTTGTGCCGGTTCCCCCAAAACCTATTGTCTCACAGCTGTCTACCTCACCTTCCCCTTGGCCATTCCCCGCACACACAACCCGTTACTGCTCCCCGCTTGATGTACGGTGTCGTGGCTAAGTACCTGCCAATCCCCTGACCATTGCGGCGTGGAGCCGGCGGCCGTCAATCAATGGTACCATGCACGAGACTAGATGCCGCCATGGCCTAGTGTGCACGGTTCGGCTACTCGCCTACTCAACCTAGCAAAGTTGCTAGGCGGGCAGATGCAGGCTCTCCTTCACGGGCTCATCTAGTGGATCAGGTGGCTGTCTGAACGGGAAGGCAACGTGTGGTTTTCCACGGCAAGAAATGGCCGGTGAGCCATGCTCTCGAGTCCCGTGGAAAATTTGACAACGGGCGAAGGCCCGGCAATATGGTCATGAGCACTCACATTCAGAAGCCCCCTCTGTGACCCTCTGTAACCGGATTTGACATACTGTAAACGTTGCTCCATTCTTAATGAATCAATACGCAAAGCTCTTGCGTGTTCCGAAGAAAAAAAAATTCAGAGGTAGCACAGGAACTACAAGAGCCATGGTGCCGCATGTTCATACTCCAAAAACATCCGTCATGTTTCATCAAACGCAGGCCTAACTTTTGCCACCGGTTTTCCACGAGTATTCTAATCCGATTCTTCACCGAATTCAAGACCCAAATCACCTGGCGAAACCCCAGCCAAGCCGCCAGCAGGATTAGTTAAGAAAATAGAATAGTATAGTAGTAGGATGATAATCGTAGGCTATTATTTTTTTTGCATGGAGAGACCAAAACGTGGACGTAATTTGGAACATTATTCAGCAATGAGATCACTGTGTCGATCAGCACTCCAAGGAAGGAACCGAGGAAGGTGCCTAGCTACGTACCCCAAAATTAAGGATCTACCTAGGCACATAGCGTGCTTAACCAGATAATTACAGGTGCTACACTACACGGAGTGACCTCATAGCACATTTTCTATGGTGCAGCCTGCCACTTGTTGAGAGTGATCACTTCATTCCTCCTTGTTACCGGCCTTGCGACATGCATGCACAGAGGAAGCATTATGTGTGAACTGCGGCATGCAGAATATATCTGGTTTACGTGGCCAAATCTCCGGAGCAACCGCCCTCTTTGACTTACATCGTACGCACGACTTTTTCTAAAGAGTATATCCGACATACACAAACTTTTCAATACTAGTGGCCATAGAGCAAAATGGAAGGAAAATTCGCAGCTTCGGCTGCACCTGTCGCGCGTGCCCTGTCAATCTGTCAAGGACTACGACCACCGAATGGCCGTGCCCTCTATATATACCTCACCAAGGGAAGACACGAACATAGCTTATGAGCTCTGACTTCTGTCCACTAGCTAGCAGAGCGTGTAGAAAATCGATCTGATGGGGAGGTCGCCGTGCTGCTGCCACGACGCCGGCGTGAAGAAAGGGCCGTGGACGGAGGAGGAGGACAAAGCGCTGGTGGAGCATATCCAGAAGCGCGGCGGGAACGTCGGAAGCTGGCGCGGCCTGCCCAAGGCCGCCGGGCTCAACCGCTGCGGCAAGAGCTGCCGCCTCCGGTGGACTAACTACCTCCGTCCTGACATAAAGCGCGGCAACTTCTCCGACGAGGAGGAACGCCTCATCATCACCCTCCACGCCGGCCTCGGCAACAAGTACGTAGTTCACGTCAAGTCTAACTACTCCACATCCACAGTCCACCACACACACACAGCTTAGCCGCCATGCCCCATGCATGGACTGTCAATTTCCTCGTGGACCTTTTGCCATAGTTGTTAGTCTTTGAGTTTGACACTGACATGGATAAATTTCTGTTGGGCATTAGGTGGTCGACAATCGCGACGCACCTGGAGGGCCGGACGGACAACGAGATCAAGAACTACTGGAATACGCACATCCGCAAGAAGCTGTTGCGCATGGGCGTCGACCCCGTCACGCACCAGCAACTGCCACCCGACCAGACCAACCACGACGTCAACGGCGCCGCCGCCGCGCTCCTCTGGGCGGCGGCGGCCGTGAGCCTCGGCGGCCTGGACACCGGCGCCCTCATGCAGGCGCAGCTTCTGCAGCAGCTGCTCCAGGCCATCGGCTCTAACAACAGCACCACCGGCCTCATAGCCAACCTGGCAGCAGCAAACACAGTGCTGAACTCAAGCAGCAGCTTCGTTCCGAACCAGATGAACTACCTGCAGACGGGTTATCTCTGCAACAACTCCAATTTGTCAGAGCAGCACGTGGTGCAGCAGCAGCTGACCAATGATACGTCTCCGGGGACAAGCTCCTTTGCAGCAGCTGAACCGGCTGATCAGCTCTGCAACACTGCCGCTTCATATGATGTTGCACCCGCGGGTGACTGGTCGCTGACGCAGGAGTTCGGCGGCTTGCTGGAGCCCATGATGGAGCTGCCCGGGCTGTGCTCTCTCGAGGGTGACTCTTTCTGGAAGGACATATTGGAAGACAGCTACCGTTTATAGATGTCTTGTGTATGACAGTTTTGTACAGAGTTAGATCCATAATAACGGTGTACTACAACATTCATTGATTTGTTTGTGTTCATTGTGGTTCTTCCAAAGATTTTTCAGTGAAGTTGAAGGTTGTCAATTGCTGATTTGATGTGACTCAGCGCTACACTTTCCTTATAAGTTAACATGTTGCCACTCGACACAAACGCGAGGACCATCCAAGTAAAATGAGATTCCAGATAACTGAAACAGTTTCGTCGCAATAACGGTGGCGCTTAGGATATAATTTGGTTACAATCCGGCCTTAGCGATAGTGTTATACTGGCTTACTCACAGCCTATCTAGCTAATACGAACGAACCTAAGATGTACGTATTAAAAAGCTGAGTACATTTCATTTTCAATAAGAAAACTTTTATTTCGAGGAACCAACAAGAGCATTGCATTTTCATAAAACAAGAAAAGGAAATTTTATGTATAGAGCTGCAAATTTTGAGGCAAACTTGCCGAAACCCTACATTTTTTCTTACAAACATATTCACAAGAAAACCATACGGAAAACTGTAGTGATGATAGAATAAATAGACATTCCTCGGTCACCTTGAAAGTAGCAAAACCACCTTTTGTTTCCAGATTAAAATTGGTTCAGGATGGTTTTCGTCTAACGTAGTTTCCTAAAAAAGTTCCACTTGGAACCTTGTATTTTCTAGCAAATTCAGTGGCAACTTTGAAGCCAGATTTAGACCAAACCATTTTGAATAGAACCACACTTAACAATTGGATAGTTTTCACATGATGGTCACATTCAAAGTAACATGACGCAATCGATTGGACGTGTCGCGAAGGGCACACGGCGAAATAGCAGCCTGTTTTTGTAGGACACATTCAGTGTGGCTGGTTTGAGGGGATAAAGCCAGATCGTCTAACCCTCGCCGTTCTGGTTGGTTCATTGTATCTATAGTATCACTCTTAGATGTTGTTCCAACCTGGGGCTATGGGTGGGCAACATGTAATCAAGGTCAGCTTATAATTCCAAGAGCAAAAGGCTAACCCCTGTAGAATTGTATTGAATAATTGTTGATGCCATATTGTGCCGGTACAAGAAGTATATATAAGAGCTAAGCCGCACCTGACCTAGACTTATTACAAACCGAGTAGGAGTCATAATCCTAATACAAGTTGTATTCTAACATCCCCTGCAGTGTCAACGGTAGGCTCGACGACGTTGAGACTGAAACGAATGTCTTGAAATGGAGTAGTCGCCAGGCCTTTAGTAAAGATATCAGCAAACTGAGCAGAAGTAGGCACGTGGAGAACGCGAACTTGACCGAGAGCCACCTTCTCTCGAACAAAATGAATGTCGATCTCAATATCCTTGGTGCGACGGTGTTGAACCGGATTCCCTGACATGTAGACAGCTGAAATATTATCACAGTAAACAATGGTAGCTTGCTTAATAGCACAGTGCAGCTCTGACAGCAACTGGTGCAACCAAACCGTATCAGCAACCGCATGAGCCACAACGCGGTACTCAGCTTCAGCAGACGAGCGGGAGACCGTAACCTACCTTTTGGAAGACCAAGAAACCAAATTGTTACCAAGAAAAACACAAAATCCGGATGTGGACCTACGAGTATCTGGACAACCGGCCCGGTCTGCATCAGAGTAAGCTGTCAAGGAGGTGGGAGAGGATTTGTTGACATGAAGACCTAAGTCTAGTGTGCCTTTGAGATACCGAAGAATACGTTTGACATCATTGTAGTATGGAATACGAGGATCATGCATGTATAAACAAGCTTGTTGGACAGCAAAAGAAATTTCAGGACGAGTGAGAGGGAGATACTGAAGTGCACCGGTAAGACTATAATAAAGAGAAGGATTAGAGAAAGGATCACCGTCGGTAGAGAGTTTGGGACCTGTATCAACAGGGGTACGGGAAGTTTGACAATCAAGCATACCAGCACGAGAAAGAAGATCCAGAGTGTACTGACGTTGAGATAAGAAAAGACCAGAGGAGTCACGGATAACAACAATACCTAAGAAGTGGTGAAGAAGACCTAAATCTGTCATAGAGAATTCATGGCGAAGAAGAGAGATAATATGATCGAAAAATTATTGTGAGAAAGCTGTGAGGATAATATTATCAACATATAAAAGAAGGCAAGCAGTGTTGTTGTTGTGATGAAAGGTGAAGAGTGAAGTGTCAGAACGGGAAGGGGTAAAACCGATGGTTTGCGCATAATTAGAAAAGCGTTGGAACCAGGCATGTGGTGCTTGTTTAAGACCATAAAGATATTTTTGAAGAAGATAGACATGATTAGGATAGGAGGAATGTTCAAAGCTAATAGGTTGTTGACAATAGACTGTTTCTTGACGAGAGCCATGAAGAAAAGTATTTTTGACATCTAGTTGATGAATTGGCCAGGAAGAAGAGACGACGATGCTAAGGACAGTGCGAATAGTGCTGGGCTTGACAACTGGAGAGAAAGTCTTATCATAATCGATGCCGTGTTGCTGAGAGTAACCATGGCATACCCATCGAGCCTTATAACGTGCAAGACTCCCATCAAAATTAAATTTATGGCGAAAAACCCATTTGCCCGAAACGATATTTGTATTGGAAGGGCATCATATTCTTCTTTCATAGCTGCGGCCCAATTAGGATCTAGGAGAGCTGATTTGTAAGATTTGGGTAGAGAGGAAGGAGATAGAGATGCATGAAGATTGAGACGATGTTTTGCAGGTAAACGAAACCCGGACTTGGCACGTGTGCGCGTGGTATGATCGTTAGTGCGGCGGCCTAGGGTTTTTGCCCTAGTAGTTGGGACTTCGACGCCAGCCAGATGGTTGAGTAGGTGTTGTTGGTGGAGGTGGTGCTGGCGGCGTCGACGCGGGCGGGCGAGGAGAAGCAGTGAAGACCTGAGGATGGGAGTCCTTCATCGTTAGGGCATGATCGACCCATTGGAGAATCGACGAACCTCGACGAAGGAGGGACGCGGACACCAATAGTAGTAGTTGTGAGCAGCGAGGTCTAGGGTTACGGGGATGTAGGGGCTAATATCGGAGATGGTGTTGGTGAAGGAGATGGATGGGGGTATTGGTGGAGGTAGAGCTAGAGTAGAGGTAGAGGCGGAGGAGGCCGTGGCCACGGAGACCTTGGCGGCGATGATGGTGGCGCGCCGCTCGAAGATCCGGGCGGCGGCAGCGGTGGCGGGGCTGGCGGGTTAGCCATACCCTAGGATCGAAAGTCTGATACCATGTAGAATTGTATTGAATAATTGTTTATGCAATATTGTGCCGGTACAAGAAGTAAGTATAAGAGCTAAGCCGCACCTGACCTAGGCTTATTACAAACCGAGTAGGAGTCATAATCCTAATACAAGTTGTATTCTAACAACCCCAACCTGCCCTAAGAGCAAGTACAATAGAGTTAGATAGGTGGGATATAAGAGATGCCACATAAGATTTATCCCTAGTTGGAGGAGAGAAAAGATGAGAGAGAAGTGAAACGAGCTATAAACTTAGATCCGGCGGTACCACGAACTCTAACACCCTTTGCGAGAGAAGGAGGTGGACCATATATTAATGATATAAACACTACTAGTTTGACTAACTATTGTATAAGCGAGCTATCGAATTGTCTATAAGTGACATGGCAACTCCATATAGCCTATTGTTGGTTATACTATTAACCATGCTCTAAGCCTCTAACAGAAAGCAACAATTTGGTTCAGGACTGGTCGATCCACATTTCACATGCCTTCGCCATAATACATTGGTATGTGGGCCAGTTCTTTCAAGTACCAGGCAACCTAAAAATCTGTTAAACCGGATGCAGTGACACAAGAAAACATCCTTTAACCTAAAAAATGTGTTTCAAAATAAAAAGAATTAATTGTGCTAAATCTGATGTAGTGACACAAAAAAACATGCTTCAACATGTTGCTTTGTCACAAATATCATATTCAATCTGTTAAACTTATTTGTACCCTAGCCGAGACAATTGATCTACAATTTTGTTCTAATGAACATCAACATGTTGAGGAATAAAACTACAAAATGAGCTAACGTTACCGTCTCAACCGATGCAACATAAAAGCTCCGAGTTATTAATTATGGGTGATCTATCTCTCTATGAGGCTTACATTTTATGGACGTATACACCATCCAATTGATGCATTGTTCTGTTTCTGTCTGATAACCTGTTACTTGGGGTAGGAAGTTGTTTTTGCAGTGTTGAAAGGTGATGGAGCTAGCTCAAGCACCTTGAGACCGACACGCGGCCTTCTACAGCTGACACCAAAGTATACACGAAGAGTATTACCTCCGATCATGTAACACCATTGATTAAATCTAATGACAGTGTTAAGTCTATATATACTGTGCGATGCGGAAACGTATTACCCTTCGAGGGGGACGTGGTACGTGTTATATAGAGGATTGCGAGTCCCTGATACGCGTACAATTCTGTTGAAGATACATGACTTGAGGGAGAAGAAGTTGTTGGGGAACGTAGCAATTTTAAAAAAAATCCTACGCACACGCAAGATCATGGTGATGCATAGCAACGAGAGGGGAGAGTGTTGTCTACGTACCCTCGTAGACCGAAAGCGGAAGCGTTAGCACAACGAGGTTGATGTAGTCGTACGTCTTCACGGCCTGACCGGTCAAGCACCGAAACTACGACACCTCCGAGTTCTAGCACACGTTCAGCTTGATGACGATCCCCGGACTGCGATCCAGCAGAATGTCGGGGAAGAGTTCCGTCAGCACGACGGTGTGGTGACGATCTTGATGTTCTACTATCGCAGGGCTTCGCCTAAACACCACTACAATATTATCAAGGACTATGGTGGAGGGGGACACCACACACGGCTAAGAGATCAATGATCAACTGTTGTGTCTCTGGGGTGCCCCCTGCCCCCGTATATAAAGGAGCATGGGAGGGAGGAGGCCGGCCTAGGAGGAGGGCACGCCAAGGGGGGAGTCCTGAGTAGGACTCCTCCTTCCCTT